CACTGGAAGCTTTCAAGAAGAATTGGACTGCCATTTGTCTGGAATGGTGTAAGGGTTTCCTGCTTAGCTGTAGGATGCCTACAAGCCAAGGTCCCTTCCAACTCAATCTATTAATCTGTAAACCATTTGCGTCATACAAACATAACACTGCAGTTTTAACTGTGCCCATCCTTAACGTATTTTGCAGCATTTAAACATGGTGGGATGCTATGAAGGTACAAGGCAATTGGAGAGCTCTCAAGAAGGAAAAAGAATGAAGAAGGGCAAAGTGGTAAGCAGAATATGGCAAAATGTAGAAAAGAGATGATTTGGATCCTGCTCATGTTCATTTATAGAAAGCCAAGCCAAGCAAACATGTATATAAATGGATCGATTGGTGCAACGACAATGAGGCACACGGAATAACCGAGCTGGTTGGCTTTGGAATTCTGGAAACTGAAGTACACAAGTCTTAAAGTGGACAAGATTGGACATCCCTGTGTTGAAAGAAATGTTTTGCAGTTTTTGTAGACTGGAATTATGCCTAGACCAAAGCAGTCAATCTAATGGATTTGAGTTTAGTCATCTCTGTTTTTTAAGGCACAATAATCTCTGTTTTAAGGATTAGATTAGCAACTTTTTGCTTGCTTCTATGTACAAATGATTAATGTTGGGATGTAATTAATTAAAACAATTTGGCAGGTTTCATAGCACGCATTGAAATTACAATCAATAAAGAGCCTCACGGACCCATTGGAAGATATGGTAATACTTTTGTTTTGTTTTTAAATGAACAAAGGAACTTCAACTGCATATCCCCAAGTAAAATAGATACTACCTAAAAGACTTATTTATATGAACTCTTCAGGTTAAGGTTGAAAAGATGGGCTTTAGAAGGATGCCCGTGTTTTGAAAAGTGGGAGTAACAATGCTATCAATTTATACACAGGGAGGTCAGTTCCTGTGCCAAATGACCTGTAGTGTAATTTAATACTGCCCTAGAAAAACTTAACACAAGCTTTACAACATTGGTTTTCTTTCTAACAGAGCCCCTGTGAGATTCAAGCTGAAGACTGAAAGAGAACATCTATGTCCCAATTTTACCTAGGGCACCACATTCCTGTCTTTATGATTGATTGATAGAAAGATCGAGAGATGAATAATGAAGAAAGTTGTTCAGATGAAAGGAGGAAACTGCAAAAATAATGGTAATAATAATAAAGACAAGCCTGTCAAACTTCTTGTTCCTATATTTTTTGTCCACGGGGATTATTTAAATAGAGAGACTGAAAGTCCATTGAGCTAGAAGTTAGGAACTTTCCCTTTTTAGTGGTTTACCACTGTATTATATGGAAGCAGGAATTCTAATATTCAGCCATTGGATTTTGAAATACTGTTAACAAAGCAGACATTTAGGGCAATCTTCTCTTATATCCAGCCTCCTTTCCTTATAATTGCACCATGACACCAGAATCTTCTTGGGTCATTCTATTTTCACAATAGAAAAGTATGCAAGCCTTGTAAAGCCACAGTGGTCCTGATGCATTAGCCATGCTAAATTAAGTAAGGGCTCTTTGTAGCTACTGAAGAGTGTTTCCAACACAAGAGGGGGTTACGCATTACAGTGCTACGAACACCTTCTAAGAGCCACTCAAAGGAGGCAAAAATAGCAAGACCTGGCCCCATCTGCTTCAGAATGTAGATTAGCAGTCCTCATCTGGATTTTCTTTCAAGTAAAGAAATTTGTTGCATATGAAAGCTAGTCTGGAGAAGATGGTTCGACCCAATCCTATTATATGAGGCTACTGCTATTGGGAAGAATCCAGACATATAGCTTACATGTGTATATTGCTTAAAATCAGATTAGAATAGAATAGAGTGGAGTGGAGTGGAATGGAACGGAACAGAACGGAACAGAACAGAATTCTTTATTGGCCAAGTGTGATTGCACACACAAGGAACTGGTCTTTGCTGCATAAGCTCTCAGTGTACATAAAAAGACACAATACATTTGTCAAGAATCATAAGGTACAACACTTAATGATAGTCATAGGGTACAAATAAGCAATCAGGAAACA